TGCTGAGATCGGGGGAAGGAACGGAGGAGGAAGCCTGGGCGAGCTGGGGAAGGGGGAAGGAACGGAGGAGAAAGAAACTGCTGAGATCGGGGGAAGGAACGGAGGAGGAAGCCTGGGCGAGCTGGGGAAGGGGGAAGGAACGGAGGAGAAAGAAACTGCTGAGATCGGGGGAAGGAACAGAGGAGGAAGCCTGGGCGAGCTGGGGAAGGGGGAAGGAACGGAGGAGAAGGAAACTGCTGAGATCGGGGGCAGGAAGGGAAATCGTCTTTCGAAGAGAAACGCCGTTCCTTCCAAGCTCCGTGCATTTATATAGTTCTTCTCCTCTATTGTTGATTGTATGATTAGGAAGCAAACTGACCTGAGGAAAGCCTTTTTTAATTCCACTGTGTGCTCTCTTTGTTTCATCACTCTTTAGTTGCCTCTGATCTGCAAACTTCCCTTTTTCCTTTTTTGGCTGGATTACTTGGCATTGTTCTTTGTAATTCTTATTCTCTTCCCCCTGTCCATTAAAGCCTTGAAAAAGAAAAATGAAAACTGTTGCAAGACTAGGGGAATGATCAAACCTTTTCTTTTGAAATTTAGCAAAATATATTTTGGCAGTTTTGCAGGAAAAACATGAAGATTCCAACCTACGATGTTACAAAGATAAGATTTCCAAGTGGGCTCCCACCAATTCTCACACACGTTGGAGGACATCCCAACAAAACTAAGACAAATGCCTGATCTAATCTTTGAGGGTCACTATGTGTGAGCCCCTTGGTGATCTAGGGGAATTCCATGGGGCCACAAACTCCCAAAGGGGTTTGGACACTGTATAATGTTGGGACAGAAACATACCCACCAGCTGCCTAACTTCAGTGAAAAATCTCCATCTGTCTGCAGAGCAGAATCTTTGAAAGCCAATAAAACTTCTGCTTGGCAATAGCTTCCCACCCTCAGCTTAGAATAATGCCAAACTCAGAACACAAGTGGGCACATTTCAGTCAGTTTGGTCCAATGGCTAAGGCACCAGGCTAGAAACTGGGAGACTGTGAATACAGGTAGTCTTCAACTTACAGCAGTTAGTTAGTGACCATTCAAAGTTATAATGGGGCTAAAAAAAAACTGACTTAGGACAATTTTTTACACTTATGACCATTGCAGCAACTGTGTTGTCATGCGATTTAAATACAGTTGCTTGACAACTGGTTCATATTTGTGACAGTCTCAGGGTCCCGGGGTTGTGTGATCACCTTTTGCAACATTCTGACACGCAAAGTCAATGGAAAGGCCAGATCCACTTAACAACCGTGCTACTAACTTAACTACAGTGATTCACTTAACAATGGTGGCAAGAAAAGACATAAAATGGGGAAAAACACACTTAACAAATTTCTCACTTAGCAACATTAATTTTGGGCTCAATTGTGGTCATAACTCGAGGACTGCCTGCACTAGATCTGCCTTAAGCATGAATGCTGGCTGGGTGACTTTGAGCCAGTCTCTCTCAGCCCAACCCATATTAGAGCATTGTTGTTGTTGGGGGACAATAGGAAAAGGAAGGAGTACTGGTTGTGTCCACTGCCTTAACTTATTTGCAATAAAGGCAGGATATAATTAAAAAGTGATCTTTTTATCAGAAATTTCTAAACGCTCCACCCACCCATCCCTTCTCTATGTTACTGAGCACAGATGGGATCTTACCCAGATAAGCCAGATTCCTGGAAATCTCCAGCATGACTTCCCTATGGAGAGCTTTTTGGGCAGGATCCAGCTGAGACCACTCCTCCTTAGAGAAATACACGGCCACATCCTCAAAAGTCACAAAATCCTGAAACAGGAAAGAGGTTTCCCTATTAACAGATAATCCCAAGAATACAGTTTTCTTCCACCAATTGAAGCAGAGAAACCCTATGAACAAAATGGGCATCCTCTGCAGAATTCAGAATGGGGTCACATGGCTTTTGGCTGATGGCACAACTGAAGGACATTTCATCGCACTGGGAGGATTGTGATGCCTTTCAGTGAAACCAATTAAAATAGGTTCCTTGGATGATTGACAGTTGGGTATAAAACCCACTACTTATCACTGCCTCCAATTCTTCCTAGAGTGGGTAGAAGGAAACACAGGGGAAATCCATCTGATATTTTTGCCAAAAGACTGCTTTATCCACTGAGGGATCAACCCTGCCCCCTACTCCACACCTTCATGGAAGTGTTTGAAGAGCTTGTAATGTTAGTGAGAATGACCCTGGGAGACAGGAGGAAGATATCCAGTCATGACAACATCTGGCCAATGAAATCTGAGCCTGAAGCAGGATGGTCAAAAAACCTTATCCGAATAGACAGGTAGGTTAAGACAGATGTGAATTTTCAACGATCTGATATAAAATTTGTCTTGCTCTCAAAACAGCAATATTATAAATTGAATATTATACAGAATAAAATGAATCTTACCTGAGGCAGAAATTCAGCCACCCTTTCAACTCTATCACAAAGAGAAGGTGGTTCTAAAAATACTAAGGACCGCTTTCTATTACCTGTGAGACAGAAAATGATAGAAGCAGACTGTTAAAAGAGGGGGGGAGAGAGAGAAAGAGAGAGATTCCACTCAAGGTGAACAAAACAATCG